ACTGAGTGTGAGTGCATAGAACGTATATATATATATATATATTTGTATGCACACGCTCATAGAGGATGTCGACAGTCTTCTCTCTTTTGCCAAAAGATGGTGAAGTTGCTGTTGAAAGATGGAGAACTACGAGGTCACAGAAAAGGGGGCCAGGCGCAGATCTGGGGAGGGGGTCGAGCATATATATATATACATATGTGTAAATACACATATGTGAATGAATGATATGGGACATGTGTACATCTATGTACGAAACGGGTATAGGTCTAGCTCTTTATCTTGATATCCGCTTGGTTCTGTGACGGTGATTTTTCCAATCAGATGTTAGCAGCTGCACCCCTCAACTTGAGAAGAAGTATTACGTTGGAAACAAGTTGGCTAGAAGTCCTGCGAAGCTCCACTATACAGTGATGACCCACTAGATGCTATTTGGCACTTGCAGGATCACTCCACGAGCTGGGCTTCAAGACCAACGTTATGCGAGCCTGCCTTCCATACTTGATGTCCAAGCCCCTGGATATTTTTCAGCGAATTTGGGGACGAGTGCAATGCTCCTTCTCAGAATTGTTCAATGCGAGCTAGGCTCCCCAGCAGTTGCTGGTTTGTTGACATCTCGGGCAGAGGTCTGCAGTAATGCATGCAGACGGTCTTCCACAATCTGCTTGCAATCCGCATTCCTGTCAGACAGGAATACCTGCCAAAGCTTTTAACAAGTTTGTGGCTTCTTCGTGTCCAAAAGCTGTGGCTTGTGTCTAACGCAGGTTCACAGTTTTCGAGCTAGGCTGGCGTATGTTTGGATGCTTGCTAGGCCTGTAGGCGCGTGTGCGCAAGCTGTACAGAGTCTGTTCTGGAATCACAGGCCATACGTTGATGGTTCATACCGTCCATACTGAAATCTCCAGGATGGTGGTTTGTAGACCCAAAGGCATGCAGGCAATGGGCGTGACTCCGAGATAATTCCGAGAGCAGACACGGATCTTCGACACTTCCTTTCGTAAACCGCCAGCGCTTGACACGTGCGTCTGGCGTGACCGGCGTAGGGTTCCAAAAAGGGCGACGTGCCTCAGAGTGGCCGCCTCACGTGTGTACACCCAACAGTCCGTATGAAGGAGGCTCAAGCAGCCTTACCCGGAAACCGAAACCGTACCCCCCTTCCATATTGCAGCAGCAAGAACTCTGCATGCGTTCGGGCCTCGGCTTGTTGCCCAGAGGCATCCACCGACCAAAGTGATTGTGATGTACTGGAGGTCTCCATGTTTTGCTTTGGGCATGGATCTTGGCTGAAGGGGCCTTGCAGACAACCCAGGCTATGAGATGTGATAGGCTTAGGACAAGTTCCTGGTTGGCCGCTCGGTAGGCATGCTTGCAACAGGTGACCCCGCTGACCGACAAGCCGCTGGCAGACTCACGCCTTTATCAGTCGCTCCTTCGCAACACTGCCTCATAAGCCAGCGGACTTTCCTGGAGGTTCCGTGCAGTCCATGGCACGGTTCTTCTCGTAGCAAGAAGGCTCATCACTTCATGTGCTGCCGAAGTTATCTTGCCTTGGGTGGGCTTCCAGCATATTAGTGTTGCTGCATGGCAGATGCAGAAGATACGGCCAACATGACCTCACTCCAGGTTCGCTGAGCTGCCCAACGGCATCAAGGCTGCTGAGACGCACATTCGACGAGAGAATTGAACGGCTTGGGTCACCGAATCTGCTGATCCGAAGTTCAGATATATTGAAGTCTTATTACAGCACGCAAACGGAAGCCAGTCCGATCGGGTAGTGACGGTGGGGTGCAGGTCCTGAACATACAGGAAGAAAAGGCTACTCAAGCCGCGATTGCTGTGGCAGTTGGAGCCGGCTCAATGTTCGAGCCGAAGGACCGCCCGTGGCAGCCCGACCTGGGCTTGTCCTATTTCTTTGGGCCATGGAGGCTTCTGTCTGCAGGAGCTGCCAGGTTTGGCCCACTTTTGCGAGCACATGCTCTTCCTTGGCACGAACCCTGGCTTTGACTGCAAGGTCATGGAAATCTCAAACCTTGTGCACACTTGTACACGCTTCGCATGCACGCTTTGGAGGTGGTTCTTGTTGGGTCTGCAGTGCTCAGGAAGAAGTATCCTGATCCCACTGGCTTCGATAAGTTTCTCGGCGAGTCTGGTGGTGGATCCAATGCGTACACAGATCAGGAGGCCACAGCCACCGGGCTCACGATTCGTTGTGGGTGGCTTAGTGCAGGCATCGAAAACTGAAGGTGCCGGATCTAGGAAATCGAGCTCTCCGTGATCCGAGGTGTATTATGCAAATTTTGCAAGCCGGGTGTTTGACGAGGCAGTCGATCGATTCTCCGACTTTTTCGCAGAGCCACTATTTAGTCGGAAGTTTGTCGAGAAGGAGGTACATGCAATCAACAGCTGCTCGCTGCAACAATCCGTCAGTGAGCGCATGTTAGGCCCGCTCTAGGTTTCTCACAACACATGCTGCGCAATTCCAAGGCGAGCATGAGAAGAATCTGCAGAGCCCCGCTCGGCGTGTGCTCCAGGTCTTGAACTACCTCGCAAATCCCGAAAGCCGTCCCTGGTAATAAGGGCATGGGAGGGGCAAGAATAGCCGGAGTTAATTTATTTGTTTGTGTGTTTGTGGTCAGGTAGGCATAGGCTGTCTGCTGCTATTTACTACGAACGTCGCTTTGCGGTGAAGGTCTTTGTAAAGTAGCGGTATAGTGGCCAGAGTGTTGTATCATTTTGTACAGTCCTGAAACAAGATGGATGTTTTGTGGCGGTGGGGGCCGACGATGCCAGTATAAGTATAGCTCCGGTACACAAGCCCGGTGTTTCATTTGTCACCTACGCTATGTGCTTCGTCTTAGTCCTGAAGTGCTATACCGCGAAAAGCAAACAGGCATCGTGATCGTAAAACTAGGTGGTCATATTTGCATAGCATTGAGACGTCCGTGTGTGAAGAGTGCCTGTGAACGTTTGCTCGGACGTGCTTTCTGGAATCCTCCCTAAACTGCGAATACGTCGGACAGGGGACACAGTCATAACAATATGTAAATTAGCGCAACTGGGTACCCCGTAGAGTTCTGGCCACTGAGGCGTCAACAACTTTGCCACTGGCAACTATCAAACTTTGATCGTAGAGCCGAAGGCATCTTGGCAGCGCCGCTGTCTTGACTGGAACACTCCACGTTTTTGACCTGATGAGGCACGAGGACTTGATGTGGTGAATGCGCTGCAAGACTATTTTCGGCAGCTTGGCAGCGTCGGTTCTTCGTAAGAGTAATTACGTGCCTGCCTGGCTCTGCTGCATCAGGCGCACATATTGCCCGCAGCATCTGCACGTCGTGACTATCACACCGGAACCCGTGGAGGACCCGCGATCGCCAGAATAGCACGACGCGAGTTGAACTGGGCCCTGCGGTAACTGGCGGTCTGGCGACAGATGCCCCCAAGAGTGTTTGCTGCTAGGAACAGCTTGAGAAGGTTCAGCGCTCCTTCAGCGCTGTGAAGGGCAGCGAGCCCTGCCGAGCCGGCTGCACATGGCTGCTGTGTAGTCTGTGCCGAACCGACAGCACCTTTAGTTGTGATTGCAACATATGGCAGCTGGCAACCAAACGTCCAGCGACCATTGTGGCGGCTATTGCGAGGTTTGAACCAGTCTTTTGAAGAGCCTCCTGCGTGGCCGCCAGAGAGGCTGTCGAAGTTTGTAATGGTGGAGCCTTCAGAGCCGCTTCCCTTCATTTTCGGAGAGAGTGTGACTGTACAGCTACTTCGACTCCTCCACCGGCTCGCCTCTCGCATCAGCATCTCAGGGCTCGCCCGGCTGTATGGCTCCAGTTCGTCCTGCCGAATTTGCAGAAGGAGTACGCAAGCAAACCGCTCAGTTACCTGAGCTATGCTGCGACCTCAGGCGGTGCATGCCAATGTGCTCTGCAGCTGTCGGCATGAACAAGCTGGCTTGTGTCCCTGGTGTCGTGCGCTCAGACTGTTTGGAATGACATGTCTTGTTTCGAGGTCATGAAGTATGCCGGCGTGGCATCTCTCCAGAACTATCTTAAGAAGGAGGGCCTCATCCAGGACCTCTCGTCGGCGGACTCTTCTACGAGCGCCGGCACGCGGTTTCTCGTGGCCATGTATCTGACCACCAAAGGCCCGGCTTTCAGAGCCGAAATACCGCCACCAGGCGTTGCAGCGACAGAGCGATGCCAATAGTCCTTGCGCTGTGGCCATCCAGTATAAGAGCCAACGGCGACGACGACGACGACGACGATAACTACTGCTACACTGCTACTACAGCGGCGAGCTGCTTCTGCTGCTGCTGCTCTTGTTCATCGTACTGGTATTAGTACCACCACCACAGCAAGTTCCAGTACGACTCAGCTGCCATCATCCTTGTACTTTGAGTTTTAGTAAGAGAGGTGAATCAGTAAACAATCGGAGGAAGAAGAGCGACACTGCTGTTGCTTTTGTGTTTTAGGTTCTGGGTTCTGCTGGAAGGGAGTTTGCACTTGTAAACTGTAGGGCGTTGTTTGGCCCCAGGTGCGAACAACCTTGGCCACGTGATGGACATCTTTTTTCACTATGTTGCAAAGATGAAGCATTCCGGTGGCTAGCTCAGCCGCGCGCATACTGTTTGTCATCGTGTGCCAGTGGCAGAGCCCTGTCATGGAGAACTTTAACATAACCGTGGTTGTGTTCCATTGTCAGCGAAGCGAAAGGTACATCGTAACAGATCAACATAGGAACAAGGAATAATGGCACCGAGCAGCGGCCAAGCTAAGCTTGTGAATCTTTCTGATTACCAAGCAAGCCGGGCAACCTGGTACACTGCTGCATGTGGTTAATCAGTTCGGCAAGAAGTACTACACAGTGCCAGCAGTTCAAGCTTTTCAACCGAGTAGCATGTGATAAGTACTGGCAAGGACATGTTGACTTGCGGTGGGTAGTATTGGGCACACAAGGAATGGCAAGTACCACAGAGATCGACTCATGAAGAGGTGCTAAAATCTAAATGGGTCGATACATGGAAAGCAAGGTAGCAAGATAGCCGGCAGAACGAAAAACCTTGAACACCAGCATGGCAAGACTGACTTGAGGTGAGGTGTCAGGATGTCCCGCCTTGGCAGGTGTCAATTTGGAGTTGTACCGCTCCCTCGCAGACTTGTCGCAGCGCCTTGGAGAACGAAATTTTGCGGTCATGCACCGTGCATGATGCTTTCGAGGTGCACACTGCTGTGCTAGTAAACTCCAAGGTTGGAGTTTAACTGGACTCAGCCGGATGCCCCGGGAGATGCAGCCAAAGACTATGCCGAACGAATGCTGCGGCTTCCCCCGCGCCTCCTCATCTCGGGAGACACCCGTATAGATCGTACGGATCCGGAGCTGCTTGCCTGAGCTGGAGAGAGCTTAGCTGCACCGTGCCCCACGTAGGCGCCACAGAGCAAGGTGTGTGTGTGTACATATATATATATATATATGTATGAGTGTGTAGATGTATGTGTGCATGCATGCATGTATGTATGTATGTGTACACATGCATACCTACCTATCTACTATCTACGTACCTACCTACCTGCCTGCCTGCCTGCCTGCCTGCCTGCCTGCCTGCCTGCCTGCCTGCCTCCCTACCTACCTACCTACCTACCTACCTACCTACCCACTTACCTACATACATACATACATACATACATACATGCGCACACACACACACATGCACACCCACATATCTATATATGTATGTGTATCTACATATATATATATACAGATATATTATAAAGGAGCATGTACGCACATGTATACGCATACGTATATGTATATGTATGTGTGTATGTGTTTGTGTATATGCTTGTGTACATATGTGCATATGTATATGTTTATGTTCATATATATATATATGTTTGCTTAATCTATATGTACACACACATATAGATATATATATATATGTCTATGTGTATACGTACACACATACATATGTATATATATATATATATGCTCACCCCCCCCCTCCATGACACGCGC